AATGCTAAAATACTACATTTGAACCAACTATCACCGATGCCACAAATAATAAGTATATCTCTAAATCATACATAAAATATTTCAAACATCACAAATATTAAGATTAAATTAATTATTATAAAGAGTAAAAATTATATAATGAGGTTAATTATAACTCATTTATATGTTAATGCCCTTAAATTGATCAACACACCCAAAAATGGCAAAATGAACATCACATTAAACCTAATATCTTCTCATTATTGTCGGATCCATTCATGCTAGATTAGCAAAAGGTTTAATGTTTAGCAATTAACCAGGCAAAAATTTTAGAGAACCAGTCACATATAGTTTGTACAAATATTATTGCTTCGTAGTAGTTCTGTAAATTTATATTAATTAAAGAATTCTACATCTCTGTTGCATATTCAATACAGCAATTCGATGTGCAATTCAAGCATTGAATTTGTGTTGCAATTTTAAGATTACCCGTCATTTTATAGGTTATAAAAAATTATAAATCACGTATTAAACTTTTCTTTTTAGAATATTTAATAGGCTAGCTAAACGTGATGGAAAGTTCCTATGCTTTTCAAATCTTCGCTAAATGTATGCTTACAATTCAAGAAGATAAAACAAATATGTTTAGTGTAATTGGTTGTGATTGTTTTTTTTAAGAGACCATGGCTCAAATCTAGATGTTAATACCTTTTTATAAGAAGTAGATAAATAATTGCGATGAAAAAAATACTCTTCCTACTTTTAGTCTCGTTTCGCGAAATTGGAAATGAAAAATCTTAAAACATTGAATATATCTTATAGAAAGAGCTTCTTCAACCAGGTAAGAAGGGCATTTTACCTGAAATTATTATATCTTATAGAAGTGATTAATTGTGAAATCGGAACTCAAGTAACATTTATTCAAACATTAAATATTAAATTGTATGTGTGGTACAGTTTAGATAAAATACATGTGTGTAGCCAAAACATGGGTCTTCGTGACATATATAGTAACTTTTTGTGACAAATCTACACATAAAATAAAGATATATTTGGCACTATGACGAAAAAAGAGGTTCGTAGAATCACTCTCAGACATGGTTGTCAAACCGGTTTTGTGCCGGCCGGTTCAACCGGTACCGGTTAGCAAACCGGCTGGAAAGGGGCCGGTATTTAAGTGTGGTCAAATCCGGTCAATGCCGGTCAGTTCCGGTCAAATCCGGAAATTCCGGCCGGTTAGACTAGAAACCAGAATTTAATGTTACACACATTATATAAAAAAATAAACATCCTCCATAGGATTTGAACCAAGTACCTCATGTTCATTTTAATTTAACTTACACACAACTAGGCGCTCTTTATTCCCTCTCTCTCTCCCGCTTGCGCTTCGGCACACTTCCCCCTTGCCGACTAACACGCCACGCCTCCCCTGGGGTCATCGCTCCTCCTTTTGCTTGCCTCCTTTTTTCTTCTTCCATTCTCATTAAAAAATTCCCTTATTTATAGTGAGCCGACCGTTGGGCTCCCGCCTTGATTGTGGGCGGACCGTTGGGCTTCCGCCTCGATCCCCGCTCCACTCTCCCCAGAATGAAGCGATTTCAAATTCCGCATTTTGAATTTGCTTCAGCCTACGACGAGTGTTTGGCTTCCCAACCTCTCTCTCTCTCCTTGCGCGGCCTGTAAATTGCCCCCCTCCACTTCTTCCTTCCTCACTTTGTCCCAAACTCCTCCTCGCTCTACTTCCTCTCTCTATATCTGCTCTGCTCCCAAGTGCTCTGCTCACCCCTCGGCCATTCCTCTCGGCCATCGCAACGAGGCGCCTTACCCCGCTGTGCAATTTTCCTTTCTCATATCCCCACGGCTCTCACCATGGCTTCCTTAAACCAGTCAGGGTCTCGTAAAGGCGTGCCTTCAGACGCTGCGCTCCCCAACACTACGCCTCCCCACGCAGCGCCTTCCAATGCTCCTGCCGCCGCTTCACGTATTCACCCGCTCCACCATCTCTTTATACACGCTTAATGTTTGAGCGTCGCGCCTTGCGAGGGTTATCCGGAAAAAGAGAACCGCTTACCCCACTCTTTTCTCAAGCGCCTCCCGCCTTGTATTTGCGCGCCTCCCTTTTTTCTTTCCACGGCCTTCCCCTCTTGAGCGCCCCTCTTGACCTCCTCCTTTTCTTCTAACTTAGGCACCGGTGCGCCTCGAGAGTTTGGGATAAGCCAGTGGGGCAACATGTGGCCGCCTGGGCATATGCCTGTGGACATTGACCAAATGTCCGAGGAAGACGCCGGGCCTCCGCACACGTCCAAGATCCTTTACTCGCGCTTTACTTCGTTAATCCGGGCGGCGCAGATGCCCGCCGACTGGCGTTACGCGCACCCGTCCCCCATTGCGCGCGTGGGTTGGATCGGTGTGTACCAAGAGTACGCCCGCTTCAGACTACGCTTCCCTATTGACCCTGTCCTGGAAGGCGTGTCGCACCTGTGCCAGTGCTCCCTCGAGCGCCTTTCACCCGTAATCATCTTGTATACCATCCTCTTCCGCCTCAAATGCCGCCAACATAATATCCTTCCCTCTTTCAAACTTTTTCGTCATTTTTTCACCATGGTTAAAAGCCCCAACTGCTTAAATCTGCAAATGCGAGCCAGGCTGGGGTACAACTTCATAAGCCATGGCAAGAAAATGGGGCGCTCGTGGTTTGAGTCCTTCTTCGTACGCCCTCGCGACACGCCCTTCTTCGAAAGCGGCGCCGCGCCTCGGACACAGTGGGCCTTCGGGGATGAGAGCGCGTTCAACGAGCACCCCGACCTTAACAAGGCGGAGGAAGATATGGCGCGGCGCCGTGCGTCCGAGCCAATATACCTTGAAATTCACAATGAGTTTGCTCGTCACCTAGCGGAGTTCTACAACGATGGTAGTTTTGTGCGCCTACCTTGTGCGCCTTTCCCCTTTCTATGCGCCTGACTGACTTGTTTGTCTCTTTCGCAGGTACGATGTTTACCAACATTTCAGATCTCATTCGTTCGAAGCTCCACCTCATCCCTCCTAAGGCGCCTCGCAAGCGCGGCAAGGGCAGGAAGGCACCGGCTGGCTCGTCCCAACCTGCTCCGAGGAAGCCGGTGCGGGTGAGGATTATTTCTAATCCCTCGACGCCTGCAGGGGGCGCTCCCGCTCCTGTCACCACCGAAGCGCCCCAGCTATCCACAACTCTCCTCTCCATGTTGATGAGGAGCGAGACGCCTCCCCCTCGCCCCGCAGTCAGGGCGCCTCTCTCTCGCCTCGCAGTCAGGGCGCCACCTCTCGGACACCTACCCACGCCTCCAACTCCAAGGCGCCGGAGAAGAGGCCAGCTGAGCCCCTTCTCTCGGCCGCGAAGAAGGCCAAGCTGGACCGCGTTATAGCCTCGGGCGTGCCGGCCAGTTTGGTTATGCCCAGCTTGGGAGAGCATACGGGGAAGATCTTGCCCCCCCTACCTGCAACCTCCTTCTCGACCCTTAGAAAAGGTCGATGTGGGCGTGCTGGTCAAGGCGGCTAAGGACCCGGGTGCCTCAATGCAGATGGTGCTGTCACATGCCGCCGTGATCGAGCGTCCTGATCACCTCAACTCCAACCGCCCTCTTCGCACTATGGCCAATCTCTCCGTTCATGTAAGGCGCCTTTCAACGTAACTTCCTATGTTTCACGCCAAGTTCTTTTTTCCTTTTGAGTCTAACTTCGCTACCTTGTACATGCACCAGATGATGATGCTGATCGAGTCCACCTCGCGTGAATTCGATCGGATGGCGTGGGAGAGTTTGTCGTCCGACGGCGCCGCGGAGCGCCTTCGGGAGGAGTTGGACGCCGCCCGCGAGACTCATGAGGCGCTGACTAGTGCCCGGGACGAGGCTTAGAGAGAAGCGCAAGCTTGGTCAGCTAAGCTCTCCACCGGCCTTGAGGCGGAGCGTGAGAAAATTAAGGCCTCCGTCGAGGAGGCGTGCAAGAAGCGCTAAGAGGCGCAGGCTGCCGCCACGCAAGCTGAGGCGGCCGAAGTCAAGAGGGAGCTGCGCAAGAGGCAGGCGACGTTGATGGACGAGTGTGACAGGTATCACGCGGAGGCGGAGCGGTACCGCGGCGAGGCGCGCGGGTTCTCGGAGGAGCTGAAGAGAGCCACAAAGTCCAAAGAGCAGTACAAGAAGGAGCTGAAGGCGGCCACGGCTGAGGCGAAGCGCCTCGAGAAGAATTTGTCGGATTACCCCATGTCGGAGGCGGGGAGGAATCTCCAAGCGGACACCGTGATTGACACCGTGAAGATCCTTCATGATAAGGTCAAGAAGTATGTCCCCGAGGTGGAGTTAGACCCCATGATCATGCATGTTCTCAAGTTCAAGGATAGCGGCCGCAAAACGAGCGAGCTGGAGCCTATCATGGGGTTGGATGTCCCCCCGCCTGCTGACAAAGACGAAGGCGCAGGGGAAGAGGAAGAAGAAGAGGAGGAGGAGGCTGAGGGCGCGGATGGCGACGAAGGCGCCGACAATGCCGAAAGGCGCTCCCCCGGGCAGCAGGGGACGCCGGAGGGGGCGGTGCAAAGTGAGGAGGAATGACGGGGCGTGCGTCCCTTATCTTTAATTTCCATTTGTTGCTTTAGAATGTCCTCGATGTACCTGAACCGCTTTTTAATCAAATGAAGTTTATGTGTTGTCAAACTGTGAATGTCACTTTCTGCGTGCGCCTCTCTTAGTGGGCGCAAACTCACTAGGAAATTTTAAGGCGCATTAATAGGGCGCTTTACCGTAGATGTTGCTATAATGTTAAGTTGCAATAGTAGGGCGCTTTACGGGCACCCCTCTCTTTCAAGAGGATTCGCGGCATGTCAATTCCTGGTAAGGTTCTTCGCTTTGCATCAAATTAAACCACATGCTCCACCGCTTGTGCGGGCCCCCGTCAATTCCTTTGAGGCGCTTTACGGTACGCATCTCTATAATCCTATGGCGCAAAAGGAGGGCGCATAGAACGGGGCGCTTTGCAACGATTTCAAACGCAATTTTAAGGCGCAATAGTAGGGCGCTTTACCGCAAATGTTGCTATAATGTTAAGGCTCAAAAGTAGGGCGCTTTACGGTACTCATTTCTATAATCCTATGGCAAAAAAGGTGGGCGCTTTACAATCATCTTCCTCGGCGCGTGGGGTGACGCGCTTGCAGTAATAGTAATTCCCCTTACACCTAACCACTTACCCTCAACTATGGGCCAAAATGTGGGCACCCCTCCCTTTGCTGTCAATGCCTTACTCGTAGACCTCCTCTGCCCCCGTCCTATGGTACACCTTGAGGTTCTGCGCATTACATGTTCGCTTGATGACCTTTCCCTCAACGCGTTCCAGTTTGAATGTGGCTGGCCCTATAATCTCTCGAACACGGTACGGTCCCTTCCACTTGGGAGCGAGCTTCCCCTCGCATGGCTTCGGGCGGAAGTCACGTCGCAACACCAGACTTCCCAGGCGTATCTGATGAGGTCGCATCTTACGATTGTAGTACTTGGCTACCTGCTGCTTCATGGCCTCGAGCCGCACGGAGGCAATATCCCTGCGCTCTTCCAGCATGTCGAGGTCGTGCACGCGCTCCTCCCCATTAGTTGACTCCTCATATTCTGCCACGCGGTGCGTCGGAAAACGCACCTCAACCGGGATAACCGCCTCACTACCAGAAGTCAAAGCGAACGACGTCTCCCCTGTCGCCACCTTGTGTGTTGTCCAATGCACCCAAAGCACGCCCGGGAGTTCTTCGACCCATCTTCCCTTGGCATCCAGAAATATCGTATGGAGCCCATGCAAGATGCTCTTGTTGGCTGCCTCAGCCTGCCCGTTGGCCTGTGGGTAGGCCACCGAAGAGAAGCGGAGGACGACGACGCTTTCATCGCAGAATTTGATAAACTGGCGGCAATCGAACTGCTTACCATGGTCAGCTACGATTGACTCGGGTAGCCTGTACCGCGAGAAAATGTTCCTGGTTGTAAACTTCTTAACCTGGGCCTGGGTGATGGTCGCCAAGGGTTCGGCTTCCACACATTTTGAGAAGTAATCAACTGCCACAATGAGATACTTCATCTGCCCGGGCGCCTTAGGAAAGGGCCCCAACAGGTCCATCCCGCACTGTGAGAATGGCCATGCGCCCACGTTGCCTCGCATGGGCGCCTGCGGGACATGCACGTCGTGGGAGTGGATCTGGCATTGATGGCAGCTCTCCACATGCCTCTTGACGTCTTTTCTGATCGTGGGCCAGTAGTAACCTTGGCGTAACAGCACCTTCTCGAGGCTCCTCGCACCCGCGTGCATTCCACAGGAGCCTTGGTGAACTTCTGCTATCGCCCTTTCTCCCTCTGCCTCCGTGAGGCGCCTCAGGTAAGCCCCCGAGTGTGATCTCTTATACATCTGTCCTTCTAAAATCGTGCAACGGGCCGCCTTGCGTCGCACCTGCCACGCTTGCCTGGCGTCCTCCGGGATCGCCCCATGGAGTAGATACGCCTTGATCGGGGTCATCCACCCTTCTCCCTCGCCGCCTTGTTCTCCGATCACTCCCACCATTGGTTCCTCAGAGGGATGCTCCTTTGAGACTATCACGTGTCTTTCGTTCTCGAAATTGGTACCGGTGGCCAGCTTCGACAGCGCGTTCGCGTGGGCATTTTCCTCTCTTGGAACATGTGTGAACTCCACTTGCTCGAACCAGGAACGCATCCCCTCTATCCTTTTAAGGTGCGCGCCCAATGCCTCTTCCTTCACCTCGAACACGCCATTTAGCTGGTTTATCACCAGGGCTGAGTCAGAACGGACTTGAATCTCTGAGCTCCCAGTTCTCGCGCCGTGTTCAATCCCGCTATCACAGCCTCGTATTCCGCTGCATTGTTGGTTTTCAGAGATGCGAATGGGAGCGCCAGCTCATGCATGGCGCCCATGGGGTTGATGACCACTATCCCTGCCCCCGCTCCAACTCGGCTGGCTGCCTCACCCCCCAAGGGCGCCCTAGGCGCCTCGGCGCCCATCCGTTGTGTTCTTCGAGGTCCGGCGCCCTGTGCCGGGCCAGATGACCTACTTCCTCCGTGCGCCTTACCGCGCTGGAGATCCCCTCCTCATCTTCGTCTCTCTCCCTCAGCGTTCCTTCCTCAGTGCCTCGAGCGCTTGGGCTTTCTCTTCTATGATGTTGATCAAGTGCTCCTTGGTCAGCGTGACGCCCTCCGACTGTGCTGTTTCCTGCGCCTCGTCCTCCCCTCCTTGCGCCTCTTCGGACACATGGGGTGCCCCTTCCGAGACTGCCTCATTGGGAGCGCGGCTCCTCTCGCCTGCCATCTCTGCCGCTTCTTCCATGACCTATGTTCCCAAGGCTATATTCCCCTATCTGGCGCGCCAATTGTTTGTGCCACGTAACCTGCCGCCCCCGATGGCTCTCGCTCTCCTCCTATCTTCTACACGCTTCTGCTCCATGTCCTCTCTCCTGCACGCAAAGGCGCCTGTCGAGCCCCCTTAAGAAGGGCTCGTTAGCACTCCAACGCCCAAGTCAGAACGGTCTTTCTAGAGTGAGAAGTGAGGTGCAAGTTTTAGAGAGAAGTTAGAACCTAAGTAAATGAGCTCCACCCACTTCACTATTTATACCCAGGGTAGGATCGACCACTGCCCCCCAAATCCGCCCTATGTCATCATCTCATTAAATGCACTGTACTTTCTCCTTCCATGCGCCCCGACACTCTGACACCGACCTTCGCCATCGAGGCGCACGGTCCTACCTCCTGTCCCCTCCGTACGCTTTTGGCCGTTGCCCCCCTTTTGTCGCCATGCGCTTTACCGTTGGTCCCACTGCCTAGGCTACAGCCTCTAGCCCTTCTTTGGGCCGGGCTTTCTTCCTGCCAGGTCCATGCCTTCAGCCCATTTCGCCCTCCTGGGCTCCTTGCTTGGGCCACTTCCTGTATGCCCCCAATAGAATCAATACTACTTGAGTTCCGATTTCAGAACTAATCTCATTCTATAAAATATAAATAACTTAAAGATAAAATATAAATATAGAAGCATCATCACAAACATATTCCTAGAGTTTAATCAAAGAAATAACAATAGATATAATGTAGCCTAGTTGGTTATAATGCTCTTTCTTCATTTAATTGATCCATGTTCGAACTCCAATGATAACATTTATAATATATAAAGATAAAGTGGGCGCAATAACAAAAATGTCCTTCCTACAATCACTCTCAGGCCACGAAATTTGAAATGGGAGAATTCCAACCCATATTTTGCCTTTATATATCTTGTAGATAACTATCCAGTCATGGCCTCTTTCAATGATTTCCAATGACATTATTAACGTTTTATGATCAATTAATATTATTTTACATTATCAATCTCAATGATCAAAAAGCACAATATTGATTTTCAACATCTTGGGTACTTGTGACATAGTGCACCTGTGTGATTCAGTTAAACAAACATTGTCAAGAAAAATATTAGCTCAAGCAAACCAACATTCACGCCTCAACACCAAACTTTTAATAACAATACAATAAATCATTGATAATGAAAAGTATTTCGTTGAAAATAAACACAAAACAAAAATATTATAATGTCCGACTTCAACATTATAAAATGATATCAAGCTTTTAATAAAGATATTAAAAATCATTAATAACAAACACTGATAAGGAAATAGATTTTTATAATAAAAAGTATTAATAATATTCAAATTAATTGTTTAATGTCAAATAGCACTAAAAACACATTAAAAACTAACATGTGTTTAATGGATAATGCAACCAAAAACTTTGATAATGATAGCAACTAATAATTGTTAAGGACCTTACTAGATATTATTAATTTTGATAATGCTTATACACGCCCATTAATAATGACACAAACTACGTTACTAGCTCAGCCTGAAAGGTTCATAACCATAGTTATATCATTAAACACAAATCACTTTTGCTAATGTCATAAACAAATAATACCTAACAAGTATGCTTCTTGATAATGACATTTGACAAAGTTACAAACTTAAACGGAAAAATGTTAATAATACAAATCAATGAAATAAATTGTTGCTAATGGTTGTATTGTGCTTGCAAAAAACATTGATAATAGCACTTCAAATGATTATAAATCATTGCGAACCAAATTGAAAATACAATGTAATAGTAAATGAACTTCAAGTACCAACAAATTGAAAACACAATTTCACTTTTGCTAATGTTACAAACAAATCAAAACATAAAAAATTAATAATGTCACATAACATTATTAAAAAACCTGTCGAACAACATTAATAATAACACAAACGAATACCTAAAAACGAAAAAATCCTAAACCCATGCAACGAAAAGCCCTAATGATGATTTAATTTATAAATATTGATAATGTAATTACAAAATGTTGGGGTAAAATACCCCCGGTACCACTTAACTTTGAGAATTAGTGAAGTTATACCACTTAACATAGAATAGGGCGTCGGGTGCCACTTAACTTAGTAATTAGTGCATCCGTCAAAAATTCCATCCAGACAACTAAAGGTGAAAATATAGAATAAATTTTGGGCCACATCATCCATACACGTAGGATGTGAGTTGGTCAATCAATTAACCCAACATTTAATACTCAATGCTAACCTATGAACTAAAACCCCAACCAAACTCCCAATCTCTCTGTCTCTTCGTCTCGCTCTATCTCTATTTTGCCAAACACCCCCTTCTCCTACAAGAACACTGTGGCCATGACCTGCGTATCGACGGCCGCTGCAAAACCCTATCATCGCGATCATTGCTTTGAAGCAGCAAGTCTCTGTCCCCTTTGTCCGCCAGAATCTCCGTCGATCTCTCAGCCAAGCCGATCTCCTTATCCCCTGCGAAACCTTATCAGATCTACTTATAGCGGGTCAACCCGCTCGAAATTCGGTGATGACAGACGATTCATCAAACTCGCTCCCGTTCAACTGTCCAAAAAGCTTGACAATCTTGCCTCCTCGGACTATACATCTGCAGAAGAGGAAAATCAAATCAAACCAAAGAGCGGGATTTGAATAATCATCGGGATTCTGGCTTTGATCACGGCCGTTACACTTTAATCCACACAAGATAAGAGCAAAAAAAATCCTTTGACATCAGTAAGGACTCAGCTCGCATCAAAGGGAACGAGTAAAGAGTGCAAATTCGGTGGTGAAGGAAAATGCTGCTATTGGTAGCCTGCCATGAATATCAATAGTGAGTGCATGCATCCAGTTTGTAGCAGGAAATTATATTAGCAATTTCTATCTTTGGACATTTTCTCCTTTAAATCGTGAGAGGGATAGATCAAATTGAGTAGTCATTTGCTGTTTTCCTGGAAGCCATTGTTATTGTTGAGATGGGGCATTTTACAAAGCAGAGTGAGACGGAGAGACGGGAGAGATTGGGTGGGGTTTTAGTTCATTGGTTAGCATTGAGTATTATGATGGGTGGATTGTTTGAGCAACTCAAATCCCACGTGGTATGGTTGATGTCGCAAAAAAATTATTGTTTATTTTCACCGTTAGTTGTATGGATGGAATTTTGGACGAATGCACTAATTACTAAGTTAAGTGGTACTCGACGCCCTATTTTAAGTTAAGTGGTATAACTCCACCAATTCTCAAAGTTAAATGGTACTTGATGTATTTTACCCCAATTGATACTAAACTGCAAGTTGCCAAGATGTGGGAGAGGCCATATATTTTAAATTTTGATTTTAGAAAAGGAAAATTATTAAATTTGGATTTCATTAAATATTAAATAAAATTAATTTTGTACTTTTTTATTATAATGTAGAGAGAGGGTTATGGAGAAAATTATGGGAGGAGGGAGACAGAGAATTATTAATTAATAATATTAATTATATTTATATAATCTCGTTTACTCTTAACTATTTATTAACTACTAACCCCCTTTAACTACCTAATCCACTATCAACCAATAAGAAGATTTTAAGATTCTTCTTAAGGAATGATACTTAACGACTTGAACTCAAGCCAGCTTGATCTGCCTAAAGAAAATTTTGGCCCGAAGGGCTGAAATCATGAGCAAGAGAGTGGGCCAAACAATTGGATGCCCTTGGTGTGTTGAGGGAAACTGTAACATTTTCCTCTTGGTTAGATAAGATTGGTTCAACCAAATCGATTAGAGAGGTTGGTTAGGTGTTAAACTTGTTGTTTAGCTAGTTGAGTTGTATAAATAGGAATAGATGAAGTCACTGTAAAAGTCAAAGCATTTAGCAAGGCCTTCATATCCAACTTACTCACCCCCGTTCCAAAATGATATAGACAAAAAAAATTTTAGAGCACCAGATAAGACATCTGACACAATCTGTTACGCGCACGGATCGGAGCGATCGACAATATAAGAAAGAAAATGATCAGCGAGAAAGTAAAGAATACAAGGACTTACGTGGTTCACTAACACGGCTTATGTTAGCTACTCCACGTGCACGAGAGATAGTTTCACTATACTTGAGAAGATTATAGATTACAGAGGAAGAGTATGAGAAGTGTTATGGCAGTAGTCTAGTAGAGCGTCATCGGCCAACGATAGATCATCCGACTCAAGTCACATTAACACGGTTTTCATCCGAACTCTAAATCTATTCGACTAAAACGGGTGGGAGAGTGTTATCAGCCCAAATTAAGTAGTTAGAAAACAAGTTCCATTAGTGACTTGAGTCCGCCCGTTGGTCGGATGAATTTCGTTAACAGTATAAATAACCATAGAAATTATCCGACGCAAGAAATGTTTTATTTTATACCATAAAAATTTCGAATCATTAAATAACTGGAGACAATATCATACTCGTATAATATTTGAACATGCTAAACCAATGTATTGCTAAAGTCCTTATTGCAAGTAAAAAACAAAACCATGCAAGAAAATCTACTCCTAAAAATGTAATCAAACCGCACTATTTGCTCTTCAAATTAACAAATTATTGTAAATGTCATTTTAGATTTCGTGTGATCGCTCCGTTCTCTAAAGCACCATCATATCTATAAATTCCAATGCATTTGTCTCTCTTTACGAAACCTTTATCTTCACACTAAACATTACGCACGGTAGAATTTACATCACATGAACATTTTGTGATATTTATTCTTTCCCATGCTGATAAACAACCCAGCAACCAACACAAATATTGATACTCTTTAGATTGAAAAATTAATGAATAAACTTAGGGATTGAGTACTTTCCAATAGATATGTTGCTTTTGTTTCCTTATAAATATGCATATTTTATTGCTCAATTTATATATAATAAATTAAGTGGGGAGTATCATGATCATTCTAAGTTAACTTTATGAAGATTGGGAGCTTGGTCAAAGTCCAATCAGCAAGGCGAGAACCAAAAATTGATGGTGGGGATGTAATTATGAATTGTCGTATAGATAGGGTACCATTATAGAAGAATTGATAGTGAATGAACGATACTGTACATGATGACATAGGATTAGAGGTGGACATCGGTCGTTCGGTACAGAACCTGATCGAATTGATACAGAACTGAACCAAAAACAAAGGAAAAATAAGGACCAGAACTGGACCAAAAGCATGTTTGGTTTATTTTGTTCGAATTAGTCCATCCCAAATTCAATTTTGGTCCATGTTTCTTCATACTTAAAATAATTCATAGGATCAAAACTGAATCAAAATATATTCGATCTAATATGATTCGATCCAAATATCGATTTGGTACGATTTAGTCTTGTGCGAACCGGATCGTTACCCACCCCTACATAGGATGCTAGACTAACATATCTTCCAAAATATGTCAAAAATGAAGGTTTTGTCTTCAATGCGGTAACTTTTTGGGTACATGCTATGCACTTGCCTCATAACCGTCATTGTGAGCAGGTGATTCATGTCAAACTGATGTCAATCATTACTCGTGATATGATGGACAAAAATACACATGAATTTTTACAAAAAAATATTCAATATTTACTTTGATTTGAAGGATTTCGGGTTTCGGAATTTAGGGTTAGGGTTTACAATTTCGAATTTAGGGTT